CTTCTTATAATCTCCATTGCTCACCTGGAAACTTCACAGGGATGACAGCCCTTCGGGAAGTCATGAATGAATATGTTTTCTTCCTCTCTAAGTGAAAAAGGATTCACTGGTGGCATTATCAAATCCTGTGTAATAAACAGACAACTGAATCTAAAGATAGCCAGTCAACAGCAAGCATCTTTCAACTTGACAAATCCTTCAGAGTCTTCCAGAGGCTGGTCTTTTAGATAAAAATATATAATGAATGGTCAAATCAAACAGCAGTTAGCAAATATGAATGCAACCTTAAACAGTGCGGCAAACTCACATGAGTACTATGTGACAAAGTTTAGCTTGCTTCCCTTCATACTGGCATAAATTCATTACAGTCTGTTAAGCTTGAGGATTCAAGGTTAAAGATGAGCTCATACATGTAAAGAGCCCCTGTACAAACTACTACAGTATATGTTGAGTAGACCACTGTGAGATTTTGTTCTTCAGAAAATGTTTTTTTGTCAAGTCCAAAATGTCTTTCAAAGAGTAGGAGTTGTGGTAATATAGGTAAGCAGACTGTTTGCTCAGTCATCATACTAGTTCTTAGATAGTTAGTTTCATTTGACAGCTGAGGCCACTCAAGTCACCTGTGAACTGGCTCACACATTTGTGGCGTTCATTTAAACATCCTGTGCTGACTTAAAACAGAGTTGAGTTGTGGCACCTTTAAGGGGGGCGAAAGGGACTCCAAAGTGGGTCAGAGTAAAAATATCTTCAACAATTATTCATGGGACCCCGCCTATCTCTACCATACCTCCACCCTGCGAAAAATCTGCATTGCACTGCAGCCTCAGCTGTTATACAAAATGGAACAGGGTGGAAAATGGAGAGAAAGAGCTAAAGGCTAAAAAGACATGAAGAAGAAAGATTTAGGATAAACAGCAAATACAGAATGAAGAGTGGGTACTTTACTCATTCTGACTTGGCTAGTGATGAAACGTGGGTGCAATATGCAATGCACAAAGAACAATGTGCAGCATGTGGCATGCAAACACTTCTTGTGATGCCCTGTGCTAAATTTTTCCAACATCATCAGCAAACCTCCCACTAAACACCAACACTATACACACCATTGCAAATGGCTCCCAAGTCAGGTTGAATTATACAGTACATTTACCACACAGATCCACAGCTATATCATTTAACTTTCTGTTCCCCCTAAGATGAAGCAAAGGGATTGGATTGGGGGAAAGTCTTTGCAAAGGACAGACTTTGTGAAATCTCTTTGATTGGCCAGGGACAGAATATTGAGGTCTTGTGATTTGTGCAGCGATGGGATTTTGGAGACTTTAGGTTGGGTGCTTAAGGTTGAAGGAGTGTGCGGCTTGGGTTTGTTTAGTTCTTTTGTGACTGCATAATCTGAAAGCATCACGATTGGAGCAATGAAAACAAATCAAGGACTGTGATTGGCTGGAAGGAAACCAGATTCCAGTACTGAAGAAGGGTGTTATGGCTGCCAAGTCCCTGTAGGTCTGCACTGTAAATCCACACATTAATCAGAGGCGGCAGGAAGAGATCAAAGGAGCCTGTTCCATCTTTACCAAGAGCACCACTTTGATCTGTGTGTGCATGGATGTGTGTGTGAGAGAAAAATAGAGAGAGAGAATGTATGAGAAAGGGGGAGAGTCAGACAGAGAGAATGGAGCTGAGAATAAGGATATGAGAGACAGGCTGGAGAGAAAACCTTATGTGTGGAGCCTGCTTGGCCTTGATATAGAACATATTAGTAATAATCACAGTCTGGTGTAAGTATAGTATACTGTTCCTCCAAAATGCTCTCATTCCATTGTATTCACAGGACTATAGTAACAGCAAATTGAACACATATGGCAATGACAGTGTAAGGGCAATACAGCACTGATGTTTGCGAATGCATGTCTGAATGCATGCATGTATTTGCACACACACACACACACACTGATGCATCAGTGTTCCTGTCAAAAATGAGAGCACCACTAAATCCACACCAATAGAAAATACTTTTCTGCCCCATAGTGGTCCTCTTCTGTCACTGCAATGTGAGGCCTCCTCTCTGCACACACACGCACACACACACACACACACACACACACAAACAGCTAAATGTGGTATGGCACCATTGTATTGCAGCTGAGACTGCAGTTGCCATAGCGACACAGAGCTGCAGCACCAGTTTTAAAAGCATCATGCATTATTAGTTGGAGTGTTGACACTTTTGCATTTCTTCTGTTCTCTGTGAATCAGAAGCTTTTAGTGCTCAATTCTTCCTGGAAAGAGGTGATGACTGTAGTGCTGCCAGGTGAACACTAGGGGACGTGATTGTAATAGACTGTTAAGTGCAGTAAGAATGTGCCACTGTCACATGCACTGGATACTTTATACTCTACATCAACCATCTAAAAGTTTCATTTTATTTATTTATTCAATTATTTAGATCAGTGCACACACTGAAGTTGTTCTTTTGCTTCCATCTTGTTTGCAACTAGCTTATTTAAATTGATTAACATGATTAAGATAGAATTACCAGAACTAATTTGTCAAAGATTATACCAGGAAACAGTAAAAACAAATAACAGTTTTACTGAATGACAGACAAATCATGTATTGGCCAGTATGTGTTTAAGATATTTTGTCAACTCTTGGACTTTACTGCCATCTGCTGACCAACGTATTGTACATTATTGTGTCCTGCGGGGCTCTAAATGGGTTTAAACTTAAAATAATTTTGTTTGTTGCCACACATCACCTGTCAACAAAAATCTTGTCAGGGGCTGGTAGTGGGCCAGAAGCCAGGGCTACCACACTTTGGTCTTTCTCCTCTAATGTCTGAGTCATGGAAGGCGTCACATACTGTATTTGTATTGTATAAAGCTGTACAGAGCTTCAGCCTACACCTCTACAATCTGCTGAAAATGGTTTCTTGTATTTTCTGAGTAAGAGTTTCTTTGACTTTCTGACATACCATAGTAAGAAAAGCACAAAGGTAAATGATAACAGAAATAATGACTGAATTCCATTTAGTTGTTTCACTTTCATAGTTCTCGTATTGTGCTTGACTCACCGCCACTGTAATAATTTACTGGCTCACTTTAATAGAATAGAGTCATCATTCATTTGCAGTAACGCCTCTACTTTTCCCACAAAAAAAGCCTAAAGTCTTTTTTCTTGTTTGTGTAACTGTTATCAGACTGAAATGCATTTCTCTATATACTTTTTAGTCATAATGTTGAAGGTTTTTTTTATTTGTTGTGTTTTTATGCCGTATTGGTTGTTTACAGATGTTGTTTGCACAAATTCCCACTTTTGTCACCACCTACCTGCTTTTTCTATTCTGTTTTTATCAATCACTTCTGTGTGAATGCACTTGTCCTGGGTTGCCTTTTCTCTGATATTCACTCCTGCTTTTTCTGGCTCTTGCTTGGAGCTTTTCTGCTGTTTAATTCACTGCTGTGATAAACACACTCAACCACTGAGAAAGTACAGTATATTAAATGCATCAAAGCAACAAAATCAATCACCACTGAAAATATATACCATTATTATAGTAAGTCAGAACATCGTAATATGCTGCTTAGGTCAGGATGCCATGATCCGATTAAGCAGACAGCTGGACATGTCTGTAAGTATTAACCCTTTCTGCTCTGCCATTCGTGGTACTGGGATACACCTGTTTTTGTTACTGCAATGCAACCTGCTACTGCCATTTTGAGAAGGGTGTAAAATGTTTTACATTTGGCTCTCTAAAGCTTACCAGACAGCTAAAACTGATACTATTACATGGTTGTGCTTCATTTATGCAGCTTAAAATTCAGAATTCAGAGTTCCGAATTTTTACAACAGTGTCATTAATTTAAGGGCATTTTTCACTTTGGAAATTACAACACAACAGTTTAATTCCAATTGATGACAGCTGATTTGCCTAAGGTTCTGACACACTCATAAAAAAAGTTCAGTTAACTAATTAATAAGTCACATTTCCACATACTTTTATAAGTTGCATATCGTTTCACGGTTAGCTTCCATAGTTTCCTGGTTGTAGGTGCACACTTAAAACTCAGATTTGAGGTGAGCACAAGAAACGTTCATACTTCAGCAGATGAATGTGAAGCCATCCTTTGGTGTCAGACGGTATTTCATGGTGACGATCAAATATCCAAGTATGGCAGCAACAAGCAAAACATTACACTTCAATAGCAACCAAATGAAATTTGAAACTCTAGAATTGTCAATAAAAACCATATATTTTGAAGCTCCTCCACAAGGTGGCACCATCACCTCAACAATTTCCCCAATAGTATAAAATACAAATGCAACGTGGACTGAGCCTGCAGAAAGTCATATGGAAACTAAAACTGTAGACTCTAGGATGAAGCTCCATCGCAGTGTAATGCGTCTTACTGGACACAGAGAGGCAGCCTTTCCTTCTGTATTAAGTTTTACACTTAGCTCATGTCACTCGGGACACCTGTTTCACAGATGCTACATTATCTGCAAAGGTGACTGAGTGCAACCTGTCTTTGAATATTTGGTGCCAGTGCTGATTCTGCTGCGGTGCAAGGAGAATGGCGGTCAGGAGCACTTCCTCTGGGATCTGTTTGTATAGTAGCGTGTGCTCATCTTATCTAAATTACTTCAGCCACAGAAAAACATTATCAGTAAGAAGGAAAAGGGTCACATGTTCAAACCACATCATGTCTAAATGTCAGTGTCTTTCTGCACCCCATGGTTTGCACTCCATGTTGTGCATGTGGCCCGTGTAGTTTATGGCAAAGAAGCAAACAAATAAAAAAATGTTTAAATATGTTCCATTCTATGTTTATTTAATTGCCTGACAATACGCGGCCTAGGCTACAGCAGCAGAAACGGCTGGGCTGCGTTGTCAGTTTGCCTTGCAATTATCACGTTATGACTGAAACTGGGAGCAGTCCTGCGCTCTTCCCGAGTTA